CTGTTTGTAGCTGCTGAATAGGATTAAAAAGAGAAAGGGAACAAAATGTACCGCCTGGCAAGGGATTAGATTAGCCTCGAGTCTAACTAAAAGACCTAACCATACGCATCCATGAGAACCACATGAATACAACAGACGCAATGGGTAGCAATTATATGCGTCAACATCGCAGGATCGAAATATACGAGGTTTAGTGGAAGATAAAGGTTTGTCAAAATTGCATCCACTTAACGCGGTATTCTCACCAACTTCACTTGTTGCAAGCAAGTAGGGAAAAAATTATCAAGGAAACCATGCGGTCCCATTAAATAGATAAAATGAGGAAATTAGAAGTAAATTTGTTTGCAGCACGCAAGCTCTTTCGTCATACGGCTTGGTGAAGTTTCCTCTGGATGGCGTCATAGTGCGCCGAGGATATATTCGCACAAAAATACAGGGACAACTCCAGGGCAAACGTTCTTTAGCCCCCAGTGCGGCCAATTTATAAATTCTTTCTATCTGCAACTACGAGCGAAATGAAAGGTACGTCAACATGATAACTGATGCTAGTTGAAATCTCCATTTCTTTTTTAAAGGTTGATATCAGTAGGCTCAAAAAGGAATGAAATCTATCATCCCGTTCCCCTAAGAACATATAAAAACTTACAAATAAAATGCAGATAACAATATAGGAATTGTAAGAAACGTAGAATTTGATTCTATAGCTGTCACGAGAAGTATGCCACCTGAGTAAATTTGCAGACAGAGTAGATTCGCAAGGTCCTCAATGGGTATATTGAAAATATCATAATGACCTAAAAACGCGTAGTTTAAGTGATATGATTGAATGTTCCAATAGCAGTTAGATTACTTGGCTAGAACACTCCTACCAATATACGAAATACCAGAAAGTGAGACTAAATATCGCAAAGTTCGATAAGTGTAATTATGTCATAATGCGAGATGAGAACAGTGACGGTAGTATTTTCAGGCTGGACAACCTGAAAATAAATAATGTAAATGGGCTTCTATGTACAAATGATCGGGGGCAACAGTCACTAAGCACTAAAGAGCATTAAGATGATTTATACATTTGCATTAGATGTTATTGTAAAAACACAACATTAAAAGAGGTGAAATTTAAAGGGTTCAGACAAGAGAAATGAGATCTCTTCTATAACACTTATACACTAAAACGCATGGATATTTATATATTTATAAAACTATAAATATAAATATATATATATATATGTATGTGTAAGTGCATACTTGCGTCAAGGAAGGGAATGGATACATTAAAAAAAATCGATTTCCAGTAGTATCGAGTAAAATACGGATACAAAGAAGATAATAGCAGAGATGAATATAATTAAATGTGGCCTAATCTCCGCCATGAGCTTAAAAAGGAAATAAAGAAGTGAGCAGGCAACAAGCTGATTTGCAGTAAAGAAGTCAATTATTAAGAAAAAGCACTAGTTGATAATTAAAGAACGTTGGGATAATTTATTTCGTGTAACGCGCATATGCGGTTGCAATGTTCAAATGATAGATAAGAAGGGTGGAGAAGATGGATAAAGCCAAAATTTATAATTTTTTAGAGACGGAAAATTATGAATAAAGAATTCAGAAAGAATAGTTAAAGTTATTCGAAGAAAAAGTGTCATAAGCAAGAGAAAAATTATAACGACGGATGGAATAAAGGGCTTGTTTTTGCTACAGTTGCTTCTGGCTGTATTAATGAGGAAGGTCTAGATAAGACAACAAGGAGGGCGTATAAATGGAGTTAAAGTTAGGAATTATGGTATATGCCCGAGTTAGCCTGATCTTGCAGATAAAAACTCCATGATAGCCTGCGGGATATCGGGCTCACAGCAGACAAGAATAAATTAAGATACGTGAGACACGCAGAAATTTAGAAAAGAAAAACTCACTCCGGCACCTGGTTTAAGCGAGATAAAACGATTTAAAAGGGAATTTAGGAGCTCGTAGAAGAAGGGATAAGAGAAGCATGACAAATTAAATCACAGATTAGTTGCTTGACTCTATTGGCGAGGATAAAGAGACCCTACCGCGGATTCTAAAGCAGAACTCGGTGTTATTCTCAATGTTTTTTTCATATAGTTCATTGGAATTAGATCGTGAGGCGAAGACAACGTATAAGAGAGGAATAAAAAGAGGAGGTTGAAAAGGGGTGACATGATTCGATAAGCAATATGGCGGAATGCATTGAAATGAGTAACAATCTGGATGGGCACGCACAAATAGATGCATGCACACATAGGTGAACATATAGAAACATGCAGGCATGTATGCATATTTACAGACAGACAGGCAGACATACTAAGGGTGAAGAAATACATGTGAAGTAAGAACGGATATAAATTCACATCAACCCAGATGCCATGTGGCAGTATTGCACACAGGAGCTTGTTCCGATACTCAAAGATCAAGATCAGGAAGTGATAATCATACAATTATTCTCTATCAGCCAAGGCATGCCTTGCACTTCCAAAGTGCTGTGCCTGTTTATGATATCAAGGCATTGTGCAGAATTAAAGGAAAGAGAATTAGTCTGAAATGGAGGAAATAAGGATAAAGTAAAGAAAGGTTTTCAATATCAAGAGGCCAGGATACTCACAATTTGTCTTGAAGGAGCAGGTTGGCATACTTCAAGGAATAGGGGGTAATCATAAAAGGAGGCAATCACCTTCAAAGTATTAGACCCAGTGGCCCAATTAAATCCAAGACAAATCTAGATAAGTATTTTGTAAGAGTATCAGAGCTAGAGTTAGACCAGACCAACTTTATGTCTGGTCAGAAGCAAGCCGGCTAGCAATAAGTGGTGCAGACCGCCTGGAACCCATGAGAGCAGGCAAAAGCTGGCGCCGTTGTTTACCACTGGTGCTCCCGGAGTTGACACTATTCGAACCAGTAGCAGAGCCTAGCGGCAGCTGCTTGTGCTTAGATGCAATATGTTTATCAAGGTGCGATTGACGGAAGTAACCCATTGGACAATGTGGACAGTGTTTAGTGGGAACGCCATAGTGAAGCTCGCGGCGGTGTCGGTTAATCACGTTTCGCAAAGCAAACTGCTTTCCACAGACTTCACACACGAAAGGCGGCCGTCCACAAACATTGGCATCAGCGGAAGAAACAATACCTCCTCCAAGGCTTGAAAGGTCCCGGGGAACAACACAGCTGGTAGATTCTAGAGATAATGGTGGCAGTGGAGGCAATATCGAAAGTGGAGGCAATGGTGGCAATAGTGGAAGTGGGGGAAGGGATGGCAGAGGCGGTGTTTGATCAATAAGCGGAGTAGCCGGGGTCACAGATGCCTTTGAGCAGGAACTCGGGAGCAGAGAAGAGGCAGGAAGTGAAGCAAGGCTCGAAGGATCAAGAGTTGATGACTGAAAATGTGACAATTTAAGTTAATATAGGGTTACAAATTAATGTAAATTCCATTTAATATCAGTTATCTAATAGTGATATGCAAAAATAAATAATGATTCAAAAAGCAAAAATATGGAGAGCATAAAATACGCAATAAAAAGACATCATATTAATACAGTACAAAAATTAGTTAGACAATTACTATAAGATGAATCGCCCCATAAAAAGTTTGCATATGTAATTATATTTATTTATTTATTTATAACATGTGGTAATAGCTATCAAAAAATGGCAACAAATATAAAAGTACTTCTAGAATTAACCCGTTCTAATCCTGTAAAAGAGAGTTACTATGAGAGATACACGCTATGTGTACTGCTGGCAAGAGTGATTCCTATCACCAGGCTTTGATCACTAGAGTAAAAGTTTTCCAAGAAACATTGGCGAAGGTTGAGACGTCGCATAAACTAAAAGGGATATTATAAAGATAAGGTAAAAAAGAGATGTATAATCTAACGAAGTCCTGATCTAACCCAAATAGCTGGATAGATAATAGGATAAAAATCGAGTTCATTATGCAAAAAGCAAATTTTGACAGTCTCCATAACACTTTGACATAATTTCCAAAATTCAGCCACCATGAACGAGTTTAAGGCGCAGAGACAGCTCCATCCACTCCAAACATTAGGACTTTGAAAAGCTTTCTGATCAGCTGGTGTGAATGTTTTCGATGTGTATTGACATTAAAAGAAATCGGTAAATATAAAAGCCATGAGAACTCAGTGAAATGCAAGTCAAATGTTAAATAGAAGCCTCAATGAAAAAGTCCATAATAAATATAAATCCCAGGTCATAGTGAAGTGTCAATTGTTATATTCTTCAGAAATGTATAGACCCTAGTGAACGAATGCTCAAAAACGGTAGTGAAAAAAAATTAGCTAAAGCCAAGCGGGATAGTAAAGAGACATGGAGAATTTCTTTGACATAAGGAGTGTGAATGGCAATAAAAGAATTAAGTGATTGGGAAATTTTACACCTTAAATGGCCCCATATCAGATTGGCCCACAAGGAATATAAAAATAAAGGCTACCACTAGTGACATTAGTGCATAAAAAATGGGCAATTATTGAACCTTGAGAATATTCACAAGTCCATAGTGCGTATGTCAGAGTACAAGGATACAAGAAACCGCAAAAAAGTACCAACAAAGTTTTCATACATAAAATAAAATCAAAGCTTTTTTTGTTTATAAGTAAGCTTTCGAGACCACCGGTGGATAATATATATGAGATCTATTCATCCTGCTTCGTTTCAGGTGATAAGGTAGTTAAATTTTCCGACAATGATATCAGACATAACGTTTTCATTGAATTTCACAGTCTTGCTTTCTCAAAAGGTATTCGCATCCAGGGTGAATCGCAGTTCCGAATTCGCCAAGTTCTTATCAATATAGCAGGACTCGAACCATGACACTGCATCGCATGATCTCGACACGCTAACTACTACGCCACAATGCCAGGAATGTCCTTGGGTGAGAGGGCAGGTGCGAATTTTAAGGAGGGCCAGGCATATCACCAATATCACATTCTGATTAGGGTCCAGCTAAGGCTATTGATAAAGGCGAGGCAAGGTCGAAACTGCAGCCCATCCTGGAAGAGAATAATTCTTGGGAGAGCATGGATAGTTGAAATTTAATGGATACGTCATATTTATTCATATCATCGTAGGAAAATTTAATTACCAGTCCCCATACCACGCTAAACGAAGTAGAATGAATACATCTCACGAAAATCAGGGCTGTCGTAAAAGTATACAGTTAATATCGAGCATCATATCCCTAGAAAGGTTATCCCGCCCGCTAAAAATATGCTTTATAATGTAAGTGATAGTATGGCGAGTAATCTGTTCTACGGTAAGTTAACTTATAATTTGGCTCAGATTTTGCCTTTAAAAGCAGTGGCTTT